GCAGAACGTGATCTTGCTCGTGGCACGCCCTGCAATCGGGCCTCATAAACGAACCTGTGTCCGCACGTACATATACACGTATATGTACAACTTACACGACTGGCCTAACACGTGCTGCGATCGGGGACCATTATACCAGTAAATATCGGCTCTACTTGTCACAACCATCATCGAAATATCGTAATTGGTCGTTCAAGGCATAGTGAAAATTCCTTTTACACTTTCTCATTGTTAATATAATGTTTGAATTTCCAGTGGATGAGAAAGACCGTTACATTTTGCCGGTTTTGTCGGTGGCCATTTTATTTTTCGGTGACTTGGCCGTCCCGAGTGTTAATTAAATGGATCGTTAGGGAAACGACCGCCACGCGATCGGTAATAAAGGTATAAAGGTAATCTAATGCAGGGCCAAGAGGTGTACGATCTGTAGAGACGTGCGTGTGGCTGGTTGGCGCAAACTGTGACGCGCGGAGGCTACGCTTCACGGCTGGTTCGCATCGGTGCCAAGGTTGCGTTCGTACTGGTGCACGGATTAACTGAACCAGCATTGAGCGCTCTGGAGTCTAGCACGACGCTTATACACTGCGCTTATCGCATCGGTGCACGTGTACGTACTTACGCGAGGCATGCAACCACAGGTTCTGTCGGAGGTCTAGGCTAACCAAACAGAGCCGACAGAACTACAGTGGGTCCGTTTCAAGGCCCCAAAAACACTACAACTGCCAATAACTACAGTGTTTATTTATTTTTACCAAAGAAATTGAAACGATAGATATTCAAAGAAACGTATAATGAAATGGAGATAAACGGTATAGCCGAATAAGAGGGTCAAATGTGACATACGATGGATCCATCGATACAGCATCAAGAAAAAACGTTCTGTGCCAAATTTTAACCCTCTATCTCGTTTGGAAGGGTAGTTATTGAGAAAATTCGGATTAACGAATTTCTGCCTATTTCCCCTATTTAATCGAGTACAAAAATTATGAAAAAAATCTGGTGCATTGTGGTTATTGAGATGCGTGTTTGAGAATTTTTTTCGATTTTTCGATTCCAAATCCTAGGTGTGAAAAATTGAAAACGCAAAAAAATACGGATTTCGTATTGAAGCTTTCGAGACACTAGATTTATATAATTACTGTAAATGCGTATTGTCATTGGTTATCTCCCTGAATTTTTTCCGATATTTCGATTCCAAATCCTAGGTGTGAAAAATTGAAAACGCAAAAAAACACAGAAAAATACGGATTTCGTATTGAAGCTTTCGAGACACTAAATTTCTATAATTATTGTAAATGCGTATTGTCATTGGTTATCTCCCTGAATTTTTTCCGATTTTTCGATTCCAAATCCTAGGTGTGAAAAATTGAAAACGCAAAAAAACACAGAAAAATACGGATTTCGTATTGAAGCTTTCGAGACACTAAATTTCTATAATTATTGTAAATGCGTATTGTCATTGGTTATCTCCCTGAATTTTTTCCGATATTTCGATTCCAAATCCTAGGTGTGAAAAATTGAAAACGCAAAAAAACACAGAAAAATGCGGATTTCGTATTGAAGCTTTCGAGACACTAAATTTCTATAATTACTGTAAATGCGTATTGTCATTGGTTATCTCCCTGAATTTTTTCAGATTTTTTGGTAGGGTGCCCGTAGTAGGAAAAATGAAAAACCCATTTTTTCGCCGTTTTTCGCGTGAAAAAGCATCTTATACTGTGAATTTTTGTATTCTCTTTAATAGATAACTATATTGTATGGTTTTAAACATTTCTATGTTGAGCAGAACAGCGTATACAAGCAGAAAAGCAAAAATAAGTCACGAAAAAAAAAGTGCTATGCGCGATATATTTATTTGAATTTTTTTTCGAAACTGTGTAGGATTTCGCGGGTATGTCTATTCACCAAAAATAATTGTAATTGACCCCCTTAGCTAGAAATAATTTTTTCAAAACGATTTGAAATTTTTTTTTCGTCGAAAAATTTAGACACCTACCCCCCTTGGTTGATTTTTCTTAAAAAGTTGTTTTACATTTTTAATAAATTTGTTTCGCGCTCTACAGAAAAAATGTCTAATACTTTTTTATAGGCACCGATGAGCTCTACTTTAGAAAAAAATTTCATTGAAATATGTTCACTATTGTAGGAGTTATGGCCGTTTGAAAATTGGACCATTTTTATGGAGTTTTTCTAACTTTACGGGATTAAGGAACAACTTTTTCACTATTGTTATAATGCCTACATATTCTTCGGCAAAATACGCGTTATTTGCCGCTTCAAACATTAAAATCCTTCAATACGTTCAGAAGTTATGACATTTTAAAGATTCGCATGAAATTTCAAGGAAGCCTCACATTAGATTTTCGGTAAAGAATTATTTTCTCGAAACCGCGTAGGATTTCGGGGATATGTCTATTCACCTAAAATGCTTGTAATCGATCCTTGTAACTAAATATAATTTTTTTAGTATGATTGGAAATTGTTTAATGTCGTCCAAAAATTTCAGTACCTACTGCAAGAAGATTCTTCAATAAAAAGAATATGAACAGTCTTTGTTAAATGGGAAGGAAATTCCTATGTATATTGAGGTAGTAAGACACTAAAAGCGCAGTTGGTCAACAAAGCGAAAATATATATTGCAGGAAAGCAATTTTTAACGCTTTAATCCCTCGTACAAGTAGATGATCAGAACAAAATAGAGCTCGTCTAAAATAAGTAATTTAGACTGCCAATAGATGTAAACATTGTACATGGACAATTTCAAACTCCCGTTCTGCGCATCATAAACCTTGTCATCATGATATCCGTAACTATATGCAAAGACTGCTAATGTTCTTTTTATTGAAGAAATCTTCTTCCACTATTCGAAGTTATTAAAGGTTTGCGATTTTAAAACCATACAATATAGTTATCTATTAAAGAGAATACAAAAATTCAAAGTATAAGATGCTCTTTCACGCGAAAAACGTCGAAAAAATCGGCTTTTGATTTTTCCTACTACGGCGCATCTTAGCAAAAAATCTGAAAAAATTCAGGGAGATAACCAATGACAATGCGCTATTACAGTAATTATAGAAATCTAGTGTCTCGAAAGCTTCAATACGAAATCCGTATTTATCTGTGTTTTTTTGCGTTTTCAATTTTTCACACCTAGGATTTGGAATCGAAAAATCGGACAAAATTCTCAAACACGTATCTCAATAACCACAATGCACCAGATTTTTTTCATAATTTTTCTACTCGATTAAATAGGGGAAATAGGCAGAAATTCGTTAATCCGAATAAGATAGTGGGTTAAAATTTGGCACAGTACGTTTTTTCTTGATGCTCTATCGATGGATCCATCGTATGTCACATTTGGTTCGAGGGCACATTTGACCCCCTTATTCGGCTATACCCTTTGTTTGTTTAGTCTCTTACAGAAGACCACGGTCGATGTTTAAAAATCCAGTCGAGTAAATTTTTTACATTGTTTATTAGAAATTACGAATGGGGGTAATTTTGACCAGTTCGGTAGTTCTAGTGACCGATGGCGGTTGTAACACTGTAAATATTTAAAAATATTGTATATTAAAATAGTTTGGTTGTTAATAACCAAGCAGTTGACGCGACTTGGAAACTTGAAAAAAGAAAAGGTTGTAATGAAAGAAAATTGTTTGAATCGCGTTTGTTTGTTATTTGGTACGAGACATGTAATGTATTTTTAAAGAGAAACGCGTGATGCCGCGTGTTGGTCGGCAATAGGGGCACGCGATAAGACTCGAAAAGGCACATAAATTGTAGTAGTGGCGTAGATAACGAAGCGCATTGACGTGACCTTCTCGCGGCGAGCGTTTGCGGGTCGCTTTTCAAGCCGCGACTGATAACGAGCGTGCGCGCGCGCATGTGCACTATTCAGAAATTTCACCATTCAGGTTTCAATAGCCGACCTTCACCCTACGTGCACTTAAACAGCATTGCGCGCGGACAAACGCACATGTGTCTTTTATCTTGCGTCTTTGACGCTACAACTACCGACAATTACACTGTTTTTATTTGTACCAAAGATATTAAAACGATAGATACGTCAAGAAATAAAAAAAGTAAATTTTAAAAAATTCTGTTTAGACAATTTTTTACAGGTTTTATTAGAAATTACAAATAGGTAATTTTGACTGCTTTGGTAGTTCTAGTGTTAACCTAACCTAAATTTCTCCACGGTTCAAATTTTAAATTCTATACTTACACTTACAAACATTATTTTTTAGCAATTAATCTTGAATTTAATTAAAAGAGAACCTGTCGATACGATGGATTTCAATAAAAATATGTGCAATTAATGTCCGTTTTGGTATCAAGGATATTGTCAATCGATTCACTACAAAGTAGTGAAAAGAACCTGAACCATTATTATGTTTTGAAATTCCACATACGTGTACTGAGAACCGGGATCGCAGTAAGACTGTGAATAGATAAAACAAAGTCTCGAAAATGGTGCTAATTGACTGTTTAGCATCGCTATGCTAATTGTCGTTTGCACGTTTCTAACAGTCAGTCTCGTTTAGACACCTTCGAGCACCGAAGCTCGCAGAACCAAGGTATTCCAAGTAATATAGATTTTAATCAGTAAGGACGCTCGAGGAAGCTATTATATAATTGATAATACGCTGCTAGCAGAGTGACGCTATTATCTTGTGTAAGTTGCTCAACACGTACAAATGCATCTCATTTTTTAAGAGACGTAATTTATACTTTTCTTAAAATTTCTAATATCATTTTGCACAAGAGATTAGAAAATTTAGTAAAATCAAATAATCAATGGTATTACGATCTACGTTTTTTTTTAAAGATAAAATATAGAGCTTTTTTACTTTTGTCCAGAGACCAGTACGAAAAACTATTAAGGCTATGTTTTATTTGTTTGCGTAGAGACCAACCTCGTGAAACTTTCAAACTATGATACTAAGTTTGTTGGAAATAGTTTTCGACATTTTCTGTTTAAACAGTATCAGAATACGTACAAGTGTTGCCACGCGACCAATGTTGGGCCTGAGTCCCTTGGATGATGGCGGTGACCGACATCATTGGTTTCTCTTTCTTCATCATTTTGCTCGCCTTGATATTCCTGGTTCGACTAGTCGCTTTTATTGCCTCCGTCACGAATCTTCACTTTGGAGATGCTTTCAAGCGAACCACGAGCGACACTCTCGCTGCGTCATTTCGTAAAACGTCAACTTTTCTTTCCCTTAACCCGCACTATGTTCCCTCTTTTGGTATAAATTTGGTTTCGTTCACTGCACTTCTCTTTGGTTGTTTCGCGGATAACTCTTGATCGTTCTACGAGGATCAATAGAAACGTTGAGTACGGCCAATTATTAATGTTTCGCTTCTAAGACATTTTTACATATTCCATGATATGTGACATATTGCGAGAAAAAGAAAGCTACAACTAGAACTATTACCAGTCAGTAATTTAAAAAACGTAAAGGAAAAATTGTACAGTTTTGTATGATCAACAGAAGAGTATACGTATACACTGCGGAGCATAACTATAGCACCACTAACATTTTTAACATTTACGACCTGCAAGAAAATAATTTGAAACAACCAATTATATGGTATGAAAAAGCATTGTAAATAATGGATTTTAGGTGAAATTCATTGAAATTGTCTACTTATATGTCAAGATTTAATCGATAAACGTTTGACGATCGGTGCAAAACAATAGAACCGGTTCATTTTTAACGCACTTCAAGGGTTTCTGTTGGAATTTTTTTAGTAAACTCGGGAATTCTTAGTTAATTGATACAATGCCACGTGGCAGCTACCTTAATGAACAAGAGCAAGTGCAATTTCAGCGTACAGAGAGCAAAAAAAGTTGATCCTTGACCCCGCAAAATAAGAAAAACCCCATAAAAATGGTCCAATCTTCAAACAGCCATAATTCCTACAATAGTGAATATATTTCAATGAAACTTTTTTCTGAAGTAGAGCTCATAGGTACCTACAAAAAAGTATTAGCCAACTTTCTTGTAGGGCGTCAAACAAAATTATTAAAAATGAAAAACGAATTTTTAAGAAAAATCGACAGGGCGTAGGTGCCTAAATTTTTCAGCGAAAAAAAAAAATTTCAAATCGTTCTAAAAAAATTATTTTCAGTTGCGGGAGTCAATTTCAATCATTTTTGGTCAATATATATACCCCCGAAATCCTACGCACTTTTGAGAAAAAAATTCGAGAATGTGTGAAATTTTTCAACAAAATTAAAAAATTTCAAACCATTCTGAAAAAATTATTTTCGGTTGCAGGGGTCGATTACAATCATTTTTGGTCATTACACATTCCCCCGAAATCTTGGGCATTACGGAGAAAAAAATTCAGTACGGGCGGAACTTTAAACGTTAATAATTTCTTAACGAAGCCTCCATCAACAAATTGGTATTCTTGTATTTTTCCCGATTTTGTCCTCTAGAAGTAGTGCAAGCCTACAGTGCTTCATTAAAATCAAAGTTAGAACGGCTACTACCATAATGGATGTGCGCGCAAGATGTAAATCATCAAAATCTGCAAAACTGTAGGAGGCAATTTTCAAAAATCGCATACCAATGGATTTGGAATAAAATGCTCGTCATTTTTTGTCATTATGAAAATTTCAATAAAATGAAAAATTAAGTTAATAAATTTTTTTTTGTTATAAACAAATTGTATTTTTTTAAATTTTTTAACACCATGTTATTGTACATAAGAAACCATCAACCTCGCCCATTAACAATTTTTTTGTATGTCTTTCCGTTTTCGAGATAGCCGTTTCGAGCCAAAACTTCAAGGGGTGGTTTCACCCCTTAAACTCGAGTTACCGCAGCTAAAAAAAAGTACGTGTTGATTATTTTTGGCTGCTTTATAAGTGTACAAAGTTTCATCAAAATCGAAGCCGGACCGTTCGCGATGGTTCCTTGTAAGTATGGGGAAAATAAGAAAGGGGGACCTAAGAAGAAGTTATCCCCTCGTACTGAAAGGCAAATTGCTAAAGTTGCGAGCAATTCGTTAAAAAGCTGTAAACAAATTGCGAAGGAATGTGATCTCGGCGTTTCTCGTTGGACTGTCCAACGTGTCCTTAAACATAATTCAAACATTATAAGACAAAAAATGATGTCTGCATCTACACTTCTAAAACGTCACGAAATACAGTATTGTCTCTCTATAGCCGCGCGTTTTCGGATTCTCTATAGACGCGAAGCTATCCCCACTACTTCGTTTGTAATCACCGCGCCGCGACATCGGGTATCGGATATCAAAGAGAAAGCCGAAGAAAAGTCGACGAGCCCCATCCCCCTTGAACGCTCGAGCGTGAAATCAAAGAAAGCCGAATAGACTACTCGTCTCTCAAGTTGCGTGCGCCCGGTCCCGACACGTGCGGCTATAGAGAGACAATACTGTAATCAGGCTTGAATACGCACGAGAAAACATGAGCAGCAATTGGAATAATGTAAGTTAAGTTTAGACATTCATGAATCGAGATTTTAGCTTCATATTCAATATTCTTTGCTCAACTTAGGTTATTTTCTCTGACGAAAAAAAATTCAATTTGGACGGTCCGGATGGATTTAATTCATATTGGAGGGAGCTTCGTAAAGAACAAAAATACTTTTCGAAACGTAATTTCGGTGGAGGGACACTTATCGTGTGGGGTGCATTCTGCTCCTGTGGCAAGCTCAGATTAGCTTTTCCAACTACACGAATTAATAGTGCGGAGTATATTGGAATACACGAAAATCATTTATTGCCTTTTATTCGTGCAAACATTCACATTTCATGGACTTATCGACAAGATAATGCTCCGATCCATAATATCCGACAAACCACAGTTTGAAACGTTTGATGTAAATGTATTGGTCTGCATGCTCCCCGGACCAAAATTGAAAACCTATGGGGTATCATGGTACTGCATATTTATGGAAATAATCGACAATTTTCGAACATTTCGGAGCTAAAAACAGCAGTTATTGAAGCGTGGAATCAAATTAGCGAAGAAACTTTGAAAAAACTCATTACAAGTACGAACAATCGTATTTTTGAATTAATACATAAAAAAGGAGGTCCCACTCATTATCGAAACTGCTCGCTTTAATAAACTGAATTAGAAATTTAACACTTTATAGCCATTTAACCTTATTATTACGTTCCAAATACATTGGTGCTATAGTTATGCACCAATGCAATATTTCATTTATTATTATACTTCGTGTTAAATAAATGTTATTTTTGTATTTTTTCCATTGATTATAATTTTTTACTAGTCCTTTTCACGTGGTATTATTAACATTTAGAAATCATTAGTTACAACTACAAAACTCTTGAAAATTATAGTGGTGCTATAGTTATGCTCCACAGTGTATGTAGAAATGTTGCGAATGCCCTATATTATTTGTACGTCGTATGAAAGTATATGTGAAGACAAGTTCATTCGTGTACTATGGAATAGAATTTGGAAGAGAAAGAGTTGAGAGTAACGCTATCGTCAACTAGGATTTATCCGTAAAAATTCGAAATGTATTTCGCCGACTCGTATTCAGAAATATTACTCCGATTAGAAAGGGGAAAAATTTGTTCGCGGGATAAAACTGCAAGTAACTGGAATTCCTGCAGTGGTTGGTATCGGTATAGTACGGAGTGGCGACCTTGACCACAGCATGTAGGCAGAAAATGCGATTGCCACGGCGCGGCAGAGAAACAATGCTTACGTAACCGCGAGCAATTATGCAAAACGCAACTATGTCCACGTGCATGTACCAGCCGTGGTGCATCTCCTATTCTTCTGTCGCGTATATCCGCCTGGCGACGATCACTCGTAATGCCAGAGGCGCTAATACTCGGCCAACCGTGATACGAAACTCGTATCGTTACGTAAAACCCTTTCTACGCGGAGAAAAAATGTGGTGCGCGTCGCGAGACCTCGAACGTCATACTTTTCGTTTCCTGCTTCCGTCCGATCGATCGACACCGCCACGTGGTCATCGATCATTACGGTTAACCAAGAAAACCGGAGGCAAGGCACATTTCCAATGGTAGTCGCTGCCTGTTGAGGTCGAAGTTCAAGGCTAATCCCGAAGAGGCTGCGTCAGATCCTGTCTGAATCGATACACACCGGGTGCACCACAATCACGCCACAAACTGGATTTATCAAAGCTACCAGTACCTAATTGCCTGCTCAAATTACTTCCTAGCTTTTTAAAACTACGAACATTCGAATCTCGTTTCAAATGTAATTCGAACCTTTACTCTCGAAAGTCTTTGATAGATTTGGGAGTGTTAAAAGTTTCGATATAACAGTTGCCGTATAATACAATCTTCTCAAAAGCAGAAAACATTATCAAGTAAATAATACAAGTATGCATATTACAATATGTACTATCGATACACTATTATAGAACAAATTAAAGTACAAATTTCTTTTATTTATTTATTCATTTTTTACTATACATATATTACTGGCTTTAATTAATAGTATACCATAAATTGGATAATCTAAAAATACTAAACCTAACGATACAACACATCAAGTTCGATGGTGAAATGTGACCACTGCAATGTTTGGATCACTTTAGCTATACTTTTCTATGTTTACCCGATTTAATTGTACGACAAATACTTATAGAAACTCTTGATTACTCCCAAATCTATTAATTATTCGTGAATAAGTGTTAAAACATTGTAACGCGCCTAATACGGAAGAAATATGATTAGCTTGCGACAAATAAAGCTTAATGTCGCGTACGTAGTGCTCGAAACGATCCGGTTATCTTGAAAAAGAAAAGAAAGTTTAGCGCTTGTAATTTATTTATTCGAAAGCGGCTGCACTTGACGTGTTATTGTCATCCGCGGTATGAAAGTTAATCGATAACGCGCGCTTCACCCGTTATTCGCCTCACGTGTTGGATGTGTAAGCTCTCGTGACCTCCAACTACATACTGCGCAGGCAGACACAACGTAGACTGAATTTGGGAAATCATTAGCGACCTTGCAACACAAGTATTACACTTATCAAATATCACTACCGTTTACTGCGGTGGTTAATTGAAATTTCACATGCCTCAGGGTCGAACTAATTTTTACGTGGTTTAGATCATCCCCTACCTTTTACTCAATATTTTCTACGACGCCCTTCGATAAGTAATATTTTCACGAAATAACTGTTAAAATTAGGCCATACCGAGGACCGTAGAATTAATTTTTTGTACGATAGAAAACAAGAATTGAGCCGTTTATTTTGAAAGTGGCCTAAGTCCATTTATCTTCAAATCGAGATATTTAAAGGTTTGCGTTTCAATGAATTTCAA